TAAAAAGAAGCAGCTTTATACACCAGGCAAAAATAATATGTAGACAAACTGCTGACCTTCCAGAAATTGGTTGTCCACTTAACAGTATTCCAGAAAAAAAAACCATGGAGAGAGAAATGCAAACTAACAGTACAAATCCAGACAGATGTGAAAGGAATATTTGACAAGAAAGAGCAAGATAGTGTACAACGCAAAATGGCCACCCTCAGTTATATTGATGAAGAATACCCACACGATCAATGGGTCAGATTCTATTTAGATGGGTCCGCAGAAAGTGCAGTTAGAAATGGTGGGACTGGAGTGTACAAAGAATCCCCAGATGGTATTAGGGATAAGTCCAGCTTACCAACAGGAAAGTATTGCCATAACTATGAGGCAGACACTCAGATAGTCAAGAAAGCAACAGAGAAACTGCTAAATACCAATCTTGGCTCACAGTATGTGGTAATGCTGACAGATGCAAAATCAGTACTAGAAGCACTCCAGTCTAGGAAACTTCAAGAATTGCAAACACTGCTGACACAACTCAGCCTTCAGCGAAGAGTTGTAATGCAGTAGATACTGTCACATTGCGGAATGCCTGGAAATGAGAAAGCTGATCAACTGGCAGGAAAAGGTGCGACACAAGTGCAACCGGATGTACCAGTCACATACCACCGAAAGAAAAGAATCATTCAATCAATCAGGAAACCACCAGCTCAGCACAAGACGACTATTTTATTACAGACAGATCAGAACAAGTCATTATCCTCCGCCTCAGAACAGGGCACAACCGATTATGTAACCACTTGAACACAAAATTCAAGATAGGCGTATCAGCACATGTGGAAAGGTGCCCCAGACAGCAGAGCATGTACTCCAGGACTGCACCGAATTTGACACACTAAGGAAAACCTTTTGGCCAGAAAGAACAACAGTGGAACGTAAACTCTATGGATCACTGAATGAATTAACAACAGTGAAATTTATACAAGAGACAAAATTGCTGATATAGACAACTTATTTCAGGCGAACGAAAGCAGAAGAAGAAGACTGGTTAGGTCAGCCACAATACTGGTTAGGTCAGCCACAATACTGGTTAGGTCAGCCACAATACTGGTTAGGTAAGCCACACTACTGGTTAGGTCAGCCACAATACTGGTTAGGTCAGCCACAATACTGGTTAGGTCAGCTACAATACTGGTTAGGTCAGCAACAATACTGGTTAGGTCAGCCACAATACTGGTTATGTCAGCTACAATACTGGTTAGGTCAGCCACAATACTGGTTAGGTCAGTCACAATACTGGTTAGGTCAGCCACAATACTGGTTAGGTTAGGCAAAACACATGTTAAATCGTACACAACCATTTTTAGATTAGATACAATGCTAATATAAAACATATTAATAGTAATAGATGGATGATCATTGCTCCTCCTACCCCCCCCCCCCCTCTCACCCCCTAGGATTGCTGTACGTAGAACTAACACCCGAAGAAGAATACAGTGGAAAATTATATAAGCCTCTTTTATCTATAAAACAGTTACAATAGGGAACCTTCAATTAAAAACAAAATTGTAATTAATACCTGTATTTACCACTTTTGCTGTGTAGGCGGGAAGGGGGGAGGGGTGGGTGTAAAAAGGGGGAGGGGTTGCCGCATGGCTTATGCTGTTGCCACGGCGTGTGCAGACAGGTTAGAGTGTGTGTGTGTGTGTGTGTGTGTGTGTGTGTGTCCAATGTAGTCATGGGGCCTAATGGCTGTTGACGTTCAACCCCACCGGGACCGCACCATGAGCGATAAACATCCGGTGAAACAAAGTTATTGTCTCTCGAATCTGTTAAAGGTTAGTTGCGTATCCTTTACAGGACGTTGCAGAACCAACCCCAGCAGCCCCTGGCGATTGTGTGGTTTCTCTAGGCAAATGTACGTCCAGTATTTTGCTATTGCTCCTGGACGGTCGGCCCCCTGATACCACTGTCGAAACAAACGTAAGGCGCATGTGTCAAGGAATGACACGCAACTACACATAATCTTAGACGAGTCGGGACTTGTATTACCCCGCTCGGCAAAAATTTCAAACTTGGACTCGTCCGGAAAGGTATATAGTCCCTTATATTGATCTATACCTTTACCGGATAAAATAATGATGTCTACACCTTCTAGTTGCCTTGACTTATCGTCATTTTCAAATTTGCAACTGTAGGTTAACTATTTCTATGATTTTAGTTGACTATTCCTGGAAACCGGTTTACTCCTTGCTCATGTGTACAAGGAACTTCTTCTTACCGACGCCAAGCTTGATTTTGTGCGGGCATTCTTCTGCCAGCATTCCTTGAGACCAGATGTATTCATCGACGCCTAACATTCTTACTTTGAGAAGGCGGCCTGTAGTCTCTAGGAAATTTCCTATGCTTGGGTAAGTTAATTATAGTTTACGACTACCTTAAATGCTGTCTGGTTAAAATAGTCTGTGCCCTAAATAACCCACACATATTGGTAAAGATAATGAACCTACAAGTGTTTACCATTTGAACTAACAACAGAAGTTTGGGCAATACTAATGGGGATGGAGAATGTAGGTCAGTACTAGGCAGCTATCGCGTTGCTTTGAGTGTGTTTGATACAGATCAATGGATGTGTGGGAATGGCCTGAGAGTCGGAAGAGATGAGTACTGACTGTAAGCATTAGTGTCTGTATGCAGATGTGAGGGGGTGGAGAGAATGCGATACGTGTGATAGTGTCTATCTATCTTCACTATATATATATAAATCTGACTTTCCCTCTCGAGCACTAAACAGACAAATAAATGAAAGGAGACATTGTCTCCTGGTCTTGAGAGTAAACTCTGAGGAATGATACAGAGGAGCAGATGTGGAGTAGGCTGATGTGGGATGGAAACTGATTGCTTATTCTGAGTCTTTCCTGTCTAGATGATACCCTCTTGGTGATTACTAATTCTGAGTTCTTTCCTGACAGGATGAAACCTCTGTAAAGAGCTGGCAGATTAATCGCAGTCCTACCAACATCCACCAACCAACTATCCACCAGCTAACACTTTTGAATGTACCTAGCATCATCAGGTTGTGCCATATACAACCATCACCTTAACATGGCCAGAGAGCGGTGAGTGAACTCCAGAGCAGGTGAACATTTGCAGAGAGATATCCATACTCGAGTGTAACAGTCTTCAGGGGCTTGGTGGAGCTCAGAGACAGAGTTGTGACCTGACCTGTGGGAGAGACTTGCGGAGTCCCTATACAGTTCCGGTGTCTTCGATGGTGAAGTACTCCTCTATAACCAGTTTCACATGAAGCAGAACTACCAGAGTCAACTACAGTCAAATCACCATGGACTGAGGGGAGCATCAACAATAGAACTCTGATAAGTGCCAGTTTTTGTGTTATTGTCATGCTCTACTCCCCACAGCTCCCTAGATTCCTATGATGACACGGTGTTGCTAGTCAAGACCTTCTGGCTGTTTCAATATCTGAGTCGTTGCTCTAAGTTCTGATCCTACAAACATTTTAAACATTCTTCTTTTTTTTTTTTTTTTAATGTAAAGAAGTTGTATTAATTACATACATTCAATTTCATGGCTGACTTAGGTGTCTCTATTTCACCTTTCTAAGTGTTTAGCATTGTTGGGTGTATGTATAATAAATATTATATGTGTTAACATGGTTATCTTCTTCTTCTTCTTCTTCGATCCTTCTGTCAGAAAACTTATATCAGGAGGCCGGTAGCCTTTATGAAAGCTATCGTGCAATCCATATCCTCTCGTGTACCATACAGTTTTGTCTTCAGTGTGGTTGGAAAAAGGCCAGATTGCGTCTCTGTTGTCAGCATACAGTTGACAGTGTTGGAGCACATGCTCAGAATTTTCGGGTGCCACGCTGCAGGGACACGTCTCCGTATTTCCTACACCAAAAAATTTGAACATATGATGACGAAATCTGTTGTGCCCTGTCCTTAGTCTGAATATAATACACTGTCCCTCTCTAGAGAGGCGATGAAGTGAGTCTTGGGGAGAAAATCTGGTGTGGGTATCCAGCCACCTTTCTTGGATACTAGCTTGTATTAGTGTTTTCATCTCTTGGTGGGTTAAGTCGCTATTTGGTTGTACCATGTCACTGCCGCTTCTGGCCAATCTGTCCGCTTTTTCATTGCCTTCCAAGCCACAGTGACCTGGAATCCACAGCAGTACAGATTGTTCTACTGAAGAGCCTAAGCAAATCAGCTGTTGCGTCAAGTCTACAAACTGAGTGTCTTTTGGGTTAACAATTGCTTGTAGAACTGACATAGCATCAGTCAGAAAGACCACTCTGCTATATTTGCTGTGCTGTTGTCCATTCAGGAAAGAACATGCCGCTAGAAGTGCTTCTGCCTCTGCTCTATAATTGGAGGAATATGAACCTGTTGGTACAGCCTGGTTGATTTTTAAACCATTTGGGCATTCTATGTATATTCCTCCTCCTCCGTCTCTTACTGCTCTCTTGGCTGAGCCATCTGTATACACTCGAATCCAACTCTGGTGTGGATAAAGTCTATTGATCTCTCCTTCTGTAGTTATAGTAAACTATCATAACCTGGGGGCTTTCTTTTTATAGTAGTAGGGGTGTCCAGCCAAGTGTGCCTAGGAATATTGTATTCCTATACAGATCTATTTTGTAGTGTCAAACACATAGTACGTTCTTTGTGACTGAAAGAGTTATTAATTTTTTTTATAAATTGTAATTTTTATTTTAAACTACGTAATTATTTTATAACTTATCAGTGTTTATGTTAAGGATGTCAAGCATTTGACATCACAGTGCGGATGAACACGATCGTAATTACAGTTTACAGAACCCGCCCAACTTTTGACATGCAATCGGGAGGGAAGAAATTCTTTGAGTAATGAAAGTGCGTTGCGTTCATGCATGCCTCTCTGTCCAGGAAGGGTGTTTGTGGAGTAGCAAGTTTTAAAACGGGTTGATTTCAATGACTCTGTTCTCACGATGGCGGTTTTTGTGACAATCACGAAGTATTTTTCTCATAGGTGACAACCAAATCTGTAGGAGGAACAGATCTACGGCAAGGCCTCCATGTTTTGATTTGTTCCCTAATGTCTGGAAACAGCAGAATCACAAGGGGCACGACGACAAGACGTAGGTAGGTGACAACTTGGAAGACCAAAAACAAACGGTTCCTGAAAGTTAGAAAAAAGTTGCATTACCATGTTTCGTAGTAAATCCTTAGACATAAACAGAATTATACAAATAGATACACACGCAGAAAAACACACACATGCTCGCGCGCACACACACACAAGTACACACAAGCACACACATTGTTACTAATTTTCGTTACTGTTTTGTTGCGAGTGACTGTGACTGGTAATAACACCATAGAGCAGTGATTCGCAAACTGTGCGCCGAAATATTCAAAGATCGCAAGTAATTTTTTTTTTTTTTAAATTATCTCTTACATTCGAATAGTCCTACATTTACTTAGGTTAAGGGGCAGTGGAAAAATTTTAATTACAAAAATGGCGCTGCGACTGAGAAAAGTTTGAGAAACACTGCCATAGAGTATAAAGTATGCTCACCACCCGCGGCCTTACCAATGTAGCTTGCAATTTTGCTCTAATCATCCCCGTCTTCACCCTGCCTACGTGCTGGATAATGAACAAGCAGACGTATTGTCTGGATCTGCACCACTGGGTGGTGAATTGATACATGACAAGACAGTTGTGGTTAAGGCCCTTTGGAAAAAAGCAACGGAATCAGTAGAGATATAAAATTATAACGGCCTGGAGAGAATGAGGCCCCTGGGTGTAACCAGAGGGTCTGTCCGGCTAACTACACTCAGAGCAAAGGCAAGACGAGCAGATAACCAAATTGTGACCGGTATCATCAGTATTGGAACTCTGCACTGGCTGCTGAAAATGAGGACGGAGCATACATGGGAATGCCCCGAGTGCTGTGATGTCAATTCTTGACTTAACTAAACTCGACATATATACTGAGAAAGGGTACTATCAAACAGATTCTAGCGACATCTCGCGTGAAATATTTTTTGAGGAGCAGAAGAGTGTATGGTTTGTGCATTTTATGGAAGCGCAACACTAGCAGATACCAACACATAATATCTTGTACGACAGTAAATGAGCGTTCAAGAATATTTTTTACATTAGTAACATTGATCGTGTGTCTTTGGTCCTTCTTCTAGTAATGTGAGTAAAGAACCCTTTCTCCACCAGTGAATCGTCAAGTATATGATGCTAGATCCATACTGTTATAGAAGAATTCAGTAAGTTATGCGGTCAGTATCATGCTGACTGCTTTTACTTCCCATCACTTTACCCGTTAACTATTTTATCCTGGGTTGACCTCAGAGCAATGTCATTTTCGGTTGTGTATTCGAACTGAATACCTTCGTTTAGTCGCTTTGCCACCGTAGCTCCCGTTTGCATTTTAAATAAGCCTAGTTGGGTTTGACACACGTCCCAAGACGTTTGACAGAATCGTGTGACACCTCAGCCACAGGTCGTATGTCTTTTTTCTTCTGCCTTCTATCTCCCAACGGTGCATAGGCTTTCAAGCGAATCACGTCAATTCGTTCTATCCTTGGCAGTTCCATACAGCTCGCCCAATGCCATCTTCATCTTTTCACCTTTACTCTCTAGTTCCCTTGTTCGTGTATTTTTTTAATTTTAAATTTGTATGCCTCTGTGGGTTCAAGCAAAAAGACATTTTAGTTATATTCTTCTCATGTTTATTCTGTGTTTCCGCTCCAGACAACAGTGCTCATTATACATTAGAATAAACAGTTTGAAGTTTAGTATGTTTCAGGTTATTTTAACCGCCACAAATTGCCCAGTACTATGGAAGCTCATCTTGCTTTTTGTGTTCGTTTTTTTTTTTTTAAATATCTTTAGTGTGATACCTCACCAGCGGGATGTATGTGAAACATAAGAATGCAATACATGTTTTCCACTTACATGGTCCAGTGCTCAAGCATATAGAAAACTCTTGGATTTATAAAGTATACTACTTTAAAGATGTCAGTCGCTATCGCAGTGACCAGGAGAGCGACGAAAGGGTACCAGGGATCAATCTGGGATCTGTCGTCTATGAGCTGGTCACGAAGAGCGTCCGAAGCGGGTCCTTGGAAATATCGCCGTCGCTTAAATGCTGAAGCTATCATCAAAAGTAAGACTGCCAGTGTCTGGGGAACAATCGTATCTAAACATATGTAGATTAGTTTAGCTTTGCTGGCACTCAGGCAGATAGCGTCATGAAAACGAGAATAATATCTATTCATTGTCAGCGGAACAAAGAATAAAGCAAACACACATGGAGATATGAAGATAACAGAAGTTAAAATGTTCTTCCATCGTGGGGTAAATCTAGGTTCAAATTTCATCGAACGAGTTGTAAAAACACACAGGAGAATTACAAGGTACCAGTTGCCGACAAAGTCTTGGGTGTGGTAGATGGTTTCGTAAACCGCGTAGACATTACAATGAAATTGATTTGCCTCAAGCAGGACCGCAGAACTGTCAATAATATCCAGACCGCAGAGTATCACAGTCTCTGTTAAGTTGACCACCAGCAAACCACAGATAATTTTGTTGCGCATCCGAGAGCGAATTTTCCGATCCAGCAACATGGCTGCCAGAAACCAAACGTTGATCAGTGTACCAGCAACCGCAAATGTTACATTCACTATTAATAAATTCATAAAATAATCTACGTAGCTGTAGTAAGAATAAAAAGTGTAATTTTTCCACTGTGACGAATTGTTCTCAATACTAAAATTAAACGACATTTTATCTCCCGCGTAGGTTGTATTTCTGACGTAGAGCAAACGCAAAGATTGTAGAAGACCTTGTCTACAAAATCCTGTCTTGTTCAAGATGAGTGTCCTTTTCTAAGTTTGCAGAAGTAAAGCAGTTCTGAAATACATTAGTAAAAAAATGTAGATAAATGGGTTTGTCTGCAGTAAAGCCGTGGGTATATAAGTCAACAATACGTAAGAACAAAAGATTTGCAGTAAAACTATAGAAATGTAAAGAAACAATACATAGGTAAAAAAATTTAATTGAAATTGGTTAGTCTGCAGTATAGATGTAGATATATACAAGTAAAATACATATCGGAAGAAATATAATGGAATGGATTTTTTCTGCAGTATAGCTATAGATATGTACGAGTATATTTTTTTTTTAGAAAGGCATCAAGCACGGTATTGTAAGGGACATGGGTGTGTCTTTAGTAAAACTATAAATGAAAAACACATAAAATAAAATAGAAAGTTTCAAATGGAAATGGATCTGTCTGCAGTAAAGCTGTAAATGTGTTTTTAAAAAGTGCATAAATGACAAAATAAAATAGAAATGGGTAAACGAGAAATAGGTAAGGCTGTAGGTTAGTTGCATATCCTTTACATGACGTTGCAGAACCAACCCCATTTTTCTAGGCAAATTTACGTCTACTGCTTACTGGACGGTCGGCTTTCTTGATACCACTGTCAAAACCAACGCAAGGCGCATGGCCCGCAGCTGGCATCGAACCCGGAATCCCAGTATTACGAAGCGACGCATCGACTTAGCCACAGAGCCGACAAAGCTGTAGATATGTTTAAAAAAATGCATGAATCAAATTGAAATGGATTTGTCTGCAGTAAAGCTGTAGATATGTTTTTTTTTAAAGTGCATAAATGTCAAAATACAATGGAAATGGGTAAACAAAAAATAGGTATAGTAAAAGTTTAAATGGAAATGGGTTTGTCTGCAGAAAAGCTATAGATATAAATAACAAATGCATAATGTAGAAATACAACGGAAATGGATGAACACAAAAAAAAGCATATAGTAAAACATAAAATGGAATGGTTTGTCTGCAGTAAATCTGTAGATATGTAGAGAATAAATACATAAATATGGAAATACATGGAAATGGATTTGTCTGCTGTAAAAGTGTTAACATTGATGCTATTGGATACGTTAAGTTTACGTAAGCGTTTTTAATAATATCAGGTGACAGAATACACACTAGGATAAGGACAGGGACTTCCACACAAATGAGAATATGACAGCAGGGTGGAGAAAGAGGGTACAGTCCGCTTACATATTTTCTGGGGTGGGGAAGATAGGGGCATGTGTGGGGTGTCTCATAAGGCGTACATTTTTCTTTTTTCAATGCTACTGATTATGATGTGTTAATAATGTGAATGATAATGATGATTTGAATAGTGATGGTAATGATGATGATGATGATGATGATGATGATATAGATAGTAAAAATTATTATACTACACTTAAAGCAATGTGAAATGTAAAAATAAACACTTAAGAAGAGATCTTATACACATGTTGGCTCATTACAGCTTTAGGGATTAACTCCCTAAAAATGTAGGGAGCTACTGTGGAATGGGGAGGTAAAGGTTATTAGGCCCAAGATTCAAGCGTCCCAGAATCAGAATGTTTACAGAAAAGCTCAGATTTATAACATAATTTTAGAATACTGCCATTCCCCATTGTGGAAATTGTTCATTGTTCATTTTAAAGATAATTTTCATCGCACATTGGACATGAACATAAGCCCTCCGATCTCCTCTAGGGTGTGTCAACAAATTTATTGAGGCCAACAAATCCCATTCTGTTCTGGTTGATATGACGACGAGTGTCTTTTGCATAGTTTTCCTACCTCGTAGCGCCATCTGTTATACTCACTGTATGCAGTGTAAGGTTAGTTGCGTATCCTTTACAGAACGTTGCAAAACCAACCCCAACAGCCCCTAGCTGTTGTGTGGTTTTTCTAGGCAAATTATGTCCAGTAGTTTGCCGTTGCTTCTGGACGGTTGGCTTTCTTAATACCACTGTCGAAACCAACGCAAGGCGCATGGCCCGCAGCTGGGATCGAACCCGGCACCCCGGCATTACGAAGCGTTCGCATCGACTTAGCCACAGAGCCGACTGTATGCAGTCTATTCAGTGAAAAATCATTTCCTTTTTTTTTTTTTTTTTTCAAGATAAAACAAGAATAATATTTAGATAACCAAAGCAACTATACTTAACATAAAAAATTCTTATGCATCCGCGTCAAATTGTTTAACATGGTATACTCACACAAGGCAAAACAGCTGTCGACGTGTCAAAGCTTAAACAATGAGTGTGACTGACTGTTAGTCAAACTGTCTTGCTGCTGTCACAAGGCAGACTTAGCCTCAGAACCGGGTTTCACAATCAAGACGTAACTCAAGCATATATGTGTCTGCTCAGTTGCCAGAAAGACCATGGGCTATTTATTATGCTATTCCTTTGTGTGGATAAGGTTGTCAAGATACCATATCATAACTAAACACCAGGCAGACAAAAGGGCAATATGATACTAGCAGCTTTCGCTGTTTCTGCCAAATATTATGATTGCGCAGCTTGAAATCTGCACTGAAACAGAGGTATCCCAAACTGACAGTGGACATACTACAAATCTTTGTGTAACAGAGTTAATACAGACTTCTTTTCTTCTTCTTCTTTTTCTTCTTTTTCTTCTTCTTCTTCTTCTTTTTCTTTTTTCTTCTTCTTCTTCCTCTTTTTCTTCTTTTTCTTCTTCTTCTTCCTCCTCTTGTTTTCTTTTTCTTCTTCTACTTCTTCTACTTCTTCTTTTTCTTCTTCTTTTTCTATTTTTTTTTCTTCTTCTTCTTGTTCTTTTTGTTCTTCTTCTTCTTCTTCTTATTCTTAGTCTTCTTCTTTTTCTCCTTCTTGTTGTTCTTTTCTTCTTCTTCTTCTTCTTCTTTTTCTTTTTCTTCTTCTTTTTCTATTTCTTGTTCTTGTTTTTGTTCTTCTTCTTCTTCTTCTTCTTTCGTCTTCTTCTTCTTCTTCTTCTTCTTCTACTTTTTCTTTTTCTTTTTTTGTTCTTCTTCTTCTTCTTCTTTTTCTTTATCTTCTTCTTTTTGTTCTTCTTTTTCTTTTTCTTCTTCTTCTTCTTTTTCTTCTTCTTCTTCTTCTTATTCTTCTTCTTCTTCTTCTTCTTCTTCTTCTTCTTCTTCTTCTTCTTCTTCTTCTTCTTCTTCTTCTTCTTCTTCTTTTTCTTCTTCTTTTTCTTCTTCTTCCTCAGCTTCTACATTCATCCAAATATGTAATTACTTTGCGCCCGCTTACACCATGGCTGCGATATTTGCGCCTTTCGACTAACACATCTGACTTCAGCAGCCAGGATGATAAGATGGTAAAGTTGAGAATAAAATACCTGAGCCTTTGTGCTGAAACCCAGATTTGGGATCGTTAATCCAATTGTGGCTAAAGGTCAGATTTCAGCACGTCACCTCTAAGATTTCGTCACTGGAGGCAGGTGTGGGTAAAGTGATTCGAAGGGGGTGGGGGTGGGGGGGGGGGGATCATCACGTTCAACCAGCATTCCCGAAGGCGGCGCTTTAGGTTATAATTGTCACCAAGTCATGTACACCAGATAAAAAGTCACCAAGGGCCCTGAAAAAGACTACTGCAGTTGTGATGCTGTCAAATGAAACAATAGGAGGCTGCGTGGTCTCGAGGCATGGTTTCCAACTAGAGTGCTTGAGGTCCCGGGTTCAGTCCCCGGTAAGGGCTAGGATTTTTTCACGTGGACTTGGACTTCTAGTAATACCACCTAATCTCTGGGTAGTGAGATCGAATGCCCGTGTACACTGCTGCGCACCTAAAAAATCTCGTAGCAGTTAGAAATCGAAAAGAGTAGCCCAACGGCGCTGCCCGGGCACAATTTTGAATTAAAAATCTACTTAAAATATTTCAGGATCCTCGCCGGTGTTTTAGAGCCTGTTCACTATGCTGAGCTCTTTCGAACTGAGACTTGAGTTCGAAGAAGAAAGGAGCACTTATGGGTTACCACCCGTGTGCCATGATGTTGATCCGGTTTTCAAAATCTTAAACCTCAAAGGAGAAAGACCCAAATACCGTCCCGACCGGTGACGGAGTTGTCTACACCCTTACTAATGGACGACAGGGTCGCCGATTTTCTGAAGACCATATTTGGGATTGATTATCTGACGGGATGCTAGGTTTCAAAAGATGATTCCCAAAGCCCACATAGCGTATAGGTGGATTTAGAAATTTGATTTCAATGTCTTCATGACGGGAGACCAGTATTTAGATATGTGATATCTAATTAGTTCGTGGTGATAGACCCCCATTTCACAGCATTACTGCTTTTGTTGGCGGTTTCTTTAGGTTTTACTTGGGAAAACACAAACAAGCAAAAATAAAATGCTCATCCACCCAATAACACAGTCACGATGTAACAAATAGGTGTTGCGTAGATTTATGAATCCTTCATCAGTGTGCAACAGGAAATGGTAACTGTTGTAGTGTAGTAGCTAGAAGCTCGCCTGTGAATACAAAGGTTGTGAGTTCAAATCATAATGAAACCATTTTTTTCAGTGACTTTCACCCTAGGCTGACCCAGTTTTGAATGGCGCCCATGTAATTTGGGGTAAAGTAAAGGCAGCCAGTGTGATGTAGACCACATCATGCACCTAGGAATCTCGGTGGAACCTCGGTTCTTTAAGGTCTTCCTTTTAAAAAAAAATAGGTTTCTGAACTGATTTATGAAACTCCCAGCAACGTATGGTTCTGTGCTGAGAGGCAAACGAAGGGCTTAGAAGGTTACAGCAAAAGCGACTGAATGATAGATCTTCGCGCAGCCAAGCCTCGCAAACTATGCTACAAAATCTAGTTTGAGAATGGAGGTGGAGGAGGTCACTTCGGCTTTCAGCTGGCTTGACAACAAGATGTACACTCATGTCGTGATTGTAACTGCCTCACTGAACAT